TATGGGGGGTGGATAGCCGAATGGTTAGCATGTGCGCGCTGTATCATAAGGTCTGTCATTGAGTCAACTGGCGTGGTTTTGCTTCCACAGTTGTACGTGATAAGGAGTAATGTCGTCTGTCCAACCTCAAGGGTTTCTCCAGGTTCTCTGGTTTCCTCCCACTGCTAAACCCCTATGCGCAAGCGAATTACTGAAATAAAACTAGCCATGTTAGTCCCGAAATGACATAGTTTGTGTTGAGTGGACGTTAAACCCCATCTCTCTCTCCCTCTCTCCTCAACCTCTTGACACTGTATAATTATGTACCGTTGCATAAACTTTTGACCTCCAAGACAAGCACACATCATGATTATGCCAATGATCAATTAAGGAAAATATCTGTGCTGTCTTGTTTTAAGAGCTTTTTTATGCAAGTTTTTCCTGTGATTTTTCTGGTTCAAAATTTCCCATAGTTGTTCATGGATTTCGTTTAGTGTTTTACCCAGGTGAACCTGATAATTGTAATAAATTAAGCATGTCCATCTGGGAGTGTAGACTGTAAGATTTAAAATTGTTTTATCTCTTTAGAGGTCTATTTCTAGCCATATTGGTGAAATTTAACAAACTGTTACTGTAAATGATGCATCATATACCAATTTGCTCTAATTTGGACACATTAGTAGAATATGTATAACAGACACTACAGCATGCATATAACTACCCAGTGATTACGTTTCTAGTGTAAGGAAAGATTTGTAATATAAGAATCTTCAATGAAAAAAATGGAATTAAACAGTTAGAAGGTTTAATGGATCCATGTGATTTAAGCGTCGACACATGGATCCAAAATTTTCACAGTCTACAACAGAATACAATACAGAACAGCTGTATTCATTCGCAAAAAAAATAGTACCTAAAATTCATGTACATTATATAGGTTTAAACGTCAAATGAATAGAGACGTCTTTAATATATACTAAATATTCGTATCATCCCAAATCGACAATAAAACAGTGAGAAAAAGGAAAATCTAAGTAATGGCAATCTAATTAACATAAAATTTACGACATAATGGATTCTTCAATGTTTTGATGGTGATCATGAAGAAAATAGGCCTACATCTGTTCTCAGGAATCCGATACGATTTTCAAAAAAAAGATCAGTAGAATTATAGATTGTTATTCCACAAGGTCGAAAGGTATGTTAGATTTTTCATTCAGTCAAGTTAGAGCGAGTTTATTGCCGTACTTTGAGCTCCAAACCCGATAGAAATGAAGGCGGAAGTGGCCATAATAGTTTTAGAGATCACTACGTGATGGCGCTCCTGCGTCGCGACAAACGGGGCCGATTTGTCCAGCCCCAGTATACAAACTGAGCCATAATGTCAAACTTGGCCCAGGTCCTATGGTATGAATTAGGTTTTTCTTCACATTTTTGGAATTATTGTAACTTTACCATTTTCCAGGTAAAGTACATTGTTTATCATATGTCCAAGTATTCCAAAATTGCAAATCACTAGTCAGACTAATCGACATCCAAATATTATGTGGTTAAATTGTCACCAGTGATTTCTTCATGACCGTACAGGGTAACATATAAATATGCACAGCTTGTAAATATGGCAGAAGGTAAAAAGCGAATGACGGAAGAGAAAACATACTTGTCATACCAGTTTCAACCTGAACAGACTTTCTATTGTAGTATTCTGACAAACTCTCACAAATAAACAATCTTATAAATTCAACATCTCATGTTTAATGAGGTAACTCGTTCCATTGACTCAGGGATCCAGTCATATTTGAAAACAATTTGTATTTGGTAATGGTATATAACAATAGACACCGTTACTAGCCGTCTGCTCATCAGAATATATTGTACAATCAGGTACGTACTAACTTCTCTTTCTTAGTTTTAAAAAAATATGTGCAATTAACTATTTCAAGTTGCAAACAATATTATTATCAAAATGACCATTAGATCAATGAATTAAGATATAGATTACTGTAACTATAGGCAAGGTATTTGTTCTTGATTTAATTTTCACCATTTCGTAACCACAAATATGAAATGGGGTTTAACGTCCTACTTTTCTGCACCAAATGAGCTAATGAACTACATATAGTCAATCATCTTTACTGATAACTTCATGCAACACATACATCTCTTAACTCCTGTTTAAAGCTACTTTCCCAGAAACATATTTATCGGGTTGTTATTTCCAATAAGAGTATGGCAATTTTGGTACATATGGAAAGCAGAAACATCCAATCTTATAAGAAGAATACTTGATTCCCTGAAAAAAAACCCATGGAGTTCATACAGGGCAAAAATGTAAGGGTTTTCCTAACTGGAAACCTGACGACTAGTAATGTCTGCATAAGTAACATCAAAGGTAACACGTGAAGATTGCCCATGTTGATATATATATTGATATATAGTCAGCGATTAAAGACAACATCATCTTGTATATGCAATGAATTGTCCTCCGGCTTTGCACCCGTTGGTAGATTTCGAGACAGCTAAGTCACCAAACTGTTTCACAGAAGATTACGAAAGTCTTACTGCCTTTAACATGTGATGTCACATCTTGTGGTGTCAATCATTGGCCCAATGGCGCATGTATTGTTTACATAAGACGTTACTGGTTTGGGCAGAATGGTACCTTTTAATACCCATTTACACTAAATAGGAAATAATTTTTACCTACAAATACTTCAAACGTCTTTATTTATTTTTCTAATACATAAAATTGTTTTGTAGAATTTAATTTGTCGGAGGAAAAAGGTCATCCTTATCAGTGATTGTAGCGGCCTAGTGAATATTCACTGCTAATCAGTGTGCTAAGTCACATGACATAAACATGAACTCTTTTGATCGATTTTTTATAGCAAGGGTATTCCCAGACAATTACAATGTTTGAGAAGGATTTGAAGCAAAATATGATAAATTAATTAGTATGAATATGTTTTTAGTCCACATATATCATCAAATCACCCAGTTTGTAGCTGAGAATGTATTTTTAATCGTAACTTTGTATTATTTGAACTCAACAGCCCATAAAATCAACAAAATGGCAAATCAATATATTGTTTCATGAAAGTGTAAATGATTTGGTTTATTATAGACAAACAATATAATAAACTTCCACATGAAAGAAGACAACATTAAAGTAATCTTTTTGGGGGATTATCAAGTCTGCTGGAAGCTGACTATTACAGGCATTTTCTTTTTTAATACTTTATCCAATACTTTATCCAAACTAAGTTATCATTCAACCATATGGTAAAATATGTTCAGAGATTTTAAGAGGGGCTTATAATAAGATTGATTTATCTGTTCAAAGGAGGGGATTATAGGGAGATATAAAAGGGTACTACAGAGCACACATGCCATGTAAATTAAATACTGTACATGATGACAGATGACAGAACAATGTGTTTAAAATTAGAGAAGTGTTCAATATTTACACAATAAATAACTTTTCAAAATTTAAACTTATATCAATTTAAATCTGTGAGTTATACAGACAACTACATTTGATTAAAAGAAAAAATGTTGTTAAGTGATGCTACAAAAAATATGTCGGATCCTCCACATAATTATCAACCAGCATTATAAGTCGCGCAAACACTATCTTTCTTCAGAAAGTACAGATTTAGAACAAGAAATCTTGGAGAAGAAATATGTTTTTTTCATTTACGAATCTTACCTTATATATGATGCAAACTGGTTCTACATTAAAAAAAATGACATTAAACTTAAAGTAGAAAATGTGTTTGAAAATCGGGGATTAAACTTACAGAATTATAAAATACAAATTTGTTTCAGGTTATTAATATTACAGACTGGGCTTTTAAAAAAAAGGTACATTACACACAAAAATTACATTTAATAAGATATACAAAGATACAGGAATATTCATTGGAATTTATTTGTTTAGACTCACTTCAAGCAAAAAAAAACCCTTGAAATCTTTAAAACTTTAAATCTACAAATAGGTTGTCTGCTTGGCAACAAGAAAACTTGAATTCCCCATATATTCAAGCCATCTTATAGACATCCATCTCTCACCAGAAGGTAAAAGTTTTTACTTTAATTTGGAAGACATCATTATATCTACCATATGTATCCCATTAATTAGCACAACAAATTCGCAAGAACTAATAACCTTATTAACATCATGGACTTAACACATGTGAGAGCAAGAATCATACTTCCAAAAAACTCAAGCAGTGTCTTAGGGTTTTTTCTGAGAAGGATCATCTGTTTTGTTTTATCAGCAACCTAAAGAAAGTGAATGTTTTAATTTTTCTTTAAACTGTTCATGGTTAATCAGCACTAAGTCTGGGCCATCAAACTACAGATTAAAAACTGAATTAGTGAAGAAAGTAACAACAAGTTCTTTTAATAGCGGACAGATTCCAGATTAGACGAAAGATTAATTTGGGCAAAAAAAGACACAGCAAAACAAATTACTCACAAGTGTCTATCATACATCAATCTGGTTTTTCTGGACATAACCCAATTTAAGAATCTTTAACATTATAACTGGCAGTTTAATTTATAATCTGAAAACAATTAATGTCTAGTAATCAAAATGTAGTAAAGAATTGTGTATCAAAGAATACAACAGCTAACTGTCTATTTTTTTCTACTATCCCAGACAATAAAATTCTGGAGGCTGATAAAAGACTTTTTCAAGATACCAAAATATGATCCTCTTTTTCTAAGTTTATATGGACTTCTTTGTTTACAATCTTTAATGTACATATGTCTGTTAAACGTCTTACTATCAGTTCTGCTCTGTTGCTTCTTCATATTTCTGATAAATTTATCGTACTGTTATTTAGTTTATGTGTTTCTATTTAGAAAGAATTACTTTTAGAAAATATATGGCAATATTGTTGATAAATTAGTTATCTGTAAAGCAAGAGAGAAAAGAAGAAAATTTTATCAATGACTGTCTGTTGTAGAAATTGCTGGGAATACGAAACAACTCAGCTGATATGTTGTAAGGTAGTAAAAAATATCAAATTACGACAGACTTGAAGTGATTTCTTGCCTGTCTCAGAGGGGGCTTTTCATCTTGAAAGTTTCCACTAATCAAATTTTTCTGCATCTCCAATCTAACTGCTCAGCAACAATTGCAGACCAAGCGGCATGTGCCAATGTTTATACAAGGCCAATAACATCAGGCCATTTTGATTAATTTCAGACATTTAATGTTATTTTCCACTAGGTGTTATATCATGGTCAACAGTGTCAGCTTCTGTTATCATCTTTAATATCAATAAGACAGTATTTATTTAACATGGCGGTTCAAAATTTCCACACATGACTCTAGTTAGTTGAAATCTTGGAATTAATCAAAACTGGAAATCATTTCCATCATTCTGAAACACGAGTATCAAAATTTACATAATGAATCTTCATTTTACCATGGCTATGCTTTATTCAAAACAATGAAATGAAAATCGATAATAAACAAACAACTCTTTCATTTAAAAAAGAAAATAAATATACATAGATAAAGCATCTGCCAGTTTTTAATAGGTGTTATTTCACACCTTCCACAGGTACAAAAGAAAGCTTAATCAATCAATTAATTAGATCAATTACCAAGGATTTAATTAAACTACAAAAACAACAATAAAATTAGTTACAGACATACATGTCTAAAAGATTTTTTTTAAAGAAATCAAGGCAAGTGATGAAATATCCCCCTGTGGTTCCATATCTTAAATCTTTCTGAATTCAGTAAAGATAATATCTGACACTTATGACAAGTTTCATTTCAACTGTGATCAAAAGGGATTAGTAAAAACAAAGTCAGGTCTCTTGAAATGTACTGTTGCTTTGACATATAATAATGTCAGAGATTGACATTTCTATAAGTTTATACAAATTTAGTGACATGATGAGAAACTTGAAACTCCTTCATCTGAGGTGTTGCACCAATATTAATCTGTAGAATCTGAGTTCAAAACTTAATTAACAATAGATCAGATATATAAAGGTGTTAATATGATATAAGAAGTGTTAATGTCAACTTAATGAACTCCATGTTATTCCACACCAAATTAATCATTTCACACATCAAAAAATAACTGTTAAAAGATGTGAGAAACTGTTTAAGTTCATTTAACAAGATAAACTTTATCACATCTTGTCTTGAGAGTAAACAATTACATTAATCCACTTTAATGCATGCCAATATAACCAATTTGTTTCAAATTTTGTTTTATTCTTTTCTAATTTCAAAACTTTGGGCTTCTTTTAAAACTTGCAGAAAACCATTCCAACAGAAAAAAAAAATCAATAAAAAAGCTTACTGAGAAAGAAAATTTAATATTTGGAACTCTTTTAGAAATCAGCATGTACATGAATGTTTTAAGTGAAAACACTTGAAAAGTACAAGAGTATGAGTATTTGGGTAAATTTTCAACAAACTTAAACCATCACTCTTTGACTTCAATGACAGCTGGCACACGCCGCTAATAAACATCAGCCCTCAGGCATTATTTGATTGGTTCATTTTCGATCAGCTGCTGGTGTGGCCCAGGCGTGTGCCACAAACAAAGGCTGTTTGTAGTTTCCCTCATTTCTTATACAGGGGCTAACAAGTTTTATAGTACTGAAAAGAGCTATCCTCTTCAAAGTCTATTGTCCTTATCAAAAGAAATTTTGCGAGGGCACACGACCAGGTGTATTACTGAAATCTTAGAATGACTGTTATGGGAGGGAAATAATGTCTGTCCATCAAATCGATATGCCTGACTGACCAACAAGACATCAAAGGCGTTTACCGCTTAAGGGTTTTCCACAATAGTGATGAACGTTTGATGTAGACGCTAGTTGATTAAACATCAAAGGTCCATGCAGGTAAGAGCAGGTGTATTATAACTACCTGTTAAAATACAGAAAGGCTAACTAGTGGATGATTTAGCAGACCTATCAGTTAAAGTGACATAAACACACTACTCATCAAAGGTCTCTTTAGCGTGCCTTCTTTATGTACCTACAAACACTTTTCTTTATACTCAATTAACAACTAGCCAATAGGAGTGTGAGGCTGTGGCCAGTTAACCTCTGTGTACACCCTGCCTAGCTAATTAACAAACAAGCTGGTAGGCACGCGCCAGCATGTATAAAGCCCAGTCGTCAGATGTGTGAGCCATTAGTTCAAGGGAAATCCTAGTGAACACATCTATGGGAGATTAGTGTATGTAGTTCATGTCTAGTGCCAAAAGGATACTATCCTCGCCTGATAACACTCAAGCTGGTATACATCTGTATTTTAGGTTGTACTATTCCAGTCAGCGCCATTCTACAGGAATTTACTACTATAACATCATGTTGTCTACTATACTGTTGTTGTTATGTTCTGTTTATTCTGTACAAGGTTAGTACTTATTGCGATTTTATGATAATTGCTTGTAAGAAGTATCAGTATTCATTTATATGTAATGCTTAATAATTAGAAAGAAAATGATTAAGAACAAAGTAATGACAAAGAATGAGTAAATTTTCTTCATGAATATCTGTTTGAGGAATATTTATAGCTACACAAATATTTTTAACAAAATACTTAGACAGTTTATTTACTATGATGATGATTAAGATATATTAGTATAGTCACATTGTGTATCTATTTAAATTTTATTCTACACAGAATAATTTTAATATTTTTTAACCAGGTGTCAAGATGTCTGCCTGCTTTAGTCAGGAGCAGAAGTCATTAGATATAAAATGCCGAGATGGTTATATGGTGCGAATTCTACACACCTTCTATGGTTTTAGTCCCACTAAAAAATGTTCCTTCCATGATGGAGACTGTACTCTACCAGAATATGAAAGTTATCCTTGTGTAGGACGTCAGTCTTGCAGCATTAATCTACCGACAGGAACTTATGGAAGTCTGGTGCCATCTTGTGGACAATACAGCAATTACTTTCAAGTGGAATATGAATGTGTTTCAGGTATGTAAAATAAGAAATACTTTCATTCAATTTGTTATTTGCTAAGATAATGTTACATATTCATTTTTCAAGTGGAATATGAATGTGGTTCCGCATGTAAAATGAGAAATATGTTCATTCAGATGATGTTACATATTCATGGTGTAAGGTGACTAACAACATAGCCATCTTTTATCATTGATTTTACATCTATACACATACATACATACATGAATCAATAAAGCAACAGACAGTAAAACTATGTCAAGTGAATGTCTGTTGTTAAACTCTATTCAACTATTGGTTGTCATAGACAATAATAATATATTGTTGTGTTGTCATTTTATCGAACAAAGTGCTAGACCGAGAATAGGATGCACCAGACACTGCTATCAACACAATTCACATAAATTTTCTGTACAGACTAAGAAAAACCTCTAATGGTATAAGAAACATCTATAAGTTTTTGTCAGTCTAATCCACCATTGAATCTTATTTGTTAAAGTATGTAATTACAACAAAATATACTAGACATCTATCAGAACTTAAAATTGGGAGGTTCAAAAAGAAAATAGAACCCACAGATAATCTAGTACAGGATGTTACGATATTACAAATGGTTCAACCTCTCCATTGATAATTAGGTTCCCTTTTATATCCTATAATTTTCACAAAGGTTTACTAACTAACTTATGTGACAGTTTAATGTAACTTATTAACTTACTTCAAACTCAAAAATAGTTAATTACTTACATACCATGACCACCAAACTGTTTACACATTTTCTGTTTGGCTTTTGGAGGTGTTTATGTTGGAATAAACTAACATAACATTTTTGAATGTCAGATTTATTAACAATTCTAAGATGAAACTTTAATACGCCCTAATAAAATAACTGTGTGTACAAGAAAACGATGGCAGATATAAAGCAGTACATATGACATTTTGAGTAACTCTGATGATTTGCGATTCTACTTAACATATTGACATGTGCTGGTTTCTCATACACACAAAACTTATGTATGGAAGCCTAATCTAGATTTAAATTCCTTTATTTAATATTTAAAGGTAAAATATTCCAGAATAAATGACAATACAGATTTTCAGACCATACAAACACACAAAAAAGTAGTTTTACAAAAAAGCTCATTGGTCCGAAAAATGATTCAAACTGACAAATGATGTACGAAGTTGACATTACTTCCATTTCGATTTTTATTTTAATCATCTAATTTACCAGTTATAGACCATATTTCAGCGCCTTTTTAATTTTTTAAAATTTAAATAAAACGAATGTTTACCAGCCTTCTGCCACATTGTATCTTTAATGATCATTGGATATGGTGAATGGTTGCATTCATTCAGACTTCAGATATGCATGTTTTTAAACAAAAAAGTCATTTTATTCAGTTTAAAAACTTCAGTTTTGCATCAATTGCTCTGAGAATGATCACATACTGGTATCACATAAAATTACCAATATAAAACATTTATCACAATAAAAAATAACATCTGCTCATAAAACAAATAACTTCACAGCTTTCAAAACATTCCTTGATGAAAAAGGTCCAGGTCATTATGATTGGTTAAAAAAAGTTCAAAATGCTGACAACCCGCCAAAATCTGAGCTTGTTGAATACAATAGAGAGAGACCATCTGCCATGTTAGAGAATAGATAAATGTAACAAAAGATGGGAGATCTCCAGCTGCTGTAGCTTGAACATGAATTTAGTTTACCAGACAAAAAAACTGTTTTAAACTTCATTTAGCTATATCATGTTCCTAAATGCGAGCAATTTGAATTATATAATCTTTTCACAGTAAATCACAAAGATAGAAAACATCAACAGCCGAGGTAACATTACATAGGAAAAAGATGAAGAGATTATTAATAGAACATACAAGTTATCAAATTATCTACCATAGTATTAAAAGACAACTAATGAATTACAGTATGTCCTTGATAAAAGGATTGAAGATCTTTATGGTATTGTTTTTTTTTTTGTTTTTCATAGATGCCCAGACTCATGACCTTTGTCAAGTTTCAACATTAACAGATCAAAGTGGCTATATATCTACACCTCGATACCCTAACAACTTTCATAACACCTTATCATGTTCTGTACGAATACAGGCGGCACCCACCCAAAAGATCCTTCTCTACATCATTGATATGGAATTGGAGCCTAAAGGCAAGACTGACTGCTCTGATCTGATGTATTTTAATGATGGATATCATAGTATTACTCTCTGTGGTCGCCGATCAAACGATACCTTTCAGTCACATGGTGACTATCTATTAGTTGAATTAAAGGCTACATCAGGCAACAGTAAAGGATTCTGGTTATACTATGAAGGTAAGACTAATCTGTTATCTACGTATTTCTCTTTTGACCAAATTCACTTTGATTTGAAAATCTTATCTGTAATGGTTGAGTAATTGGTTAACTAGCTTTTCAAGTTTTTACTTAATTATCTGTATGAAGGTATTTATATCTTCAAACAGTAATAAATGCATGGCCAAGTTTCAAAAGTAGCCATAAAATTTCATTCAAATTGTTTATCTTTTATGCAGCTTTTCCCAAACTTCCAAATTATGTACCAACAACGGAAGAGCCAGGACAAGATGACAACATTTCACCAACAATGGCTTCTAATCATCCATATTTTAACAAACCCCAGAATAACAGAAAGCCAATAACTTCATCATTTATGTCTAAACTAACAGAGAGAAATGAAGACATCACCAGAGATACAACATCTACACCTATACCCGTTTATCACGATTATGTGAAAAATGGTGGAAACAGCAAAACATTGCCATTTGGTAAGCTTCATTGTCAGACTAAATTATCATATATCCATAACTATTAAATATATAAATCAATTGGACATCCAATTAAATTGATGGAATACAAATTACACCTTTGTTTCATTATAATGCTGTTGTAGAGGTCCACTAAAATAATACCCTTTAGAAGTGCAAGTCCTGTATAATATTAGACTGAAAGCTAATAAGGCTTCACCATAAAAAGGTTGTTGGGTTGTTGTCAGGCATATCTACTGAAACCTGCCTTGTACTAGTTGTTTAGATGAGTTCAATGTTTTGCTATATAACAGGGAATAATAAATTAATTATAACATCTCTATCCTGAGCATCATAAGAAAATTGCCAACCTGTAATGATAAACATCTCATGCTCTCTCTGTCTTAATCTTTCCGTCTTAAATAATAGATATAACCAAGTTAATTAGATGGATCTTTTTTTTATCTACTTGTAGCTGCTATTGCTGGAAGTGTGATTGGGACTTTAACACTAGTATTGCTGGTATTGTTAACACTACTAGCCATAAAATGGTATGTCATTGATTTTTATTAAACATAAATACAACTATTAATTTTAATTATACCATTTTCATATACTTTTAAATATTTTTATTATTTGAATTTCTCTTGTTTAATTTCAATCTCAGTACCTTTGAAATAACTACCTATCATAAGTGTATATTATTAGGGATCAATTTCAATTCAATTTAATTTTTTGTTTTATATCTGTACAGGCTAAAAGAAAGGAGATATTTCCAGAACAAAGAAAGATTTCTGGAAATAAGAAACCCAGCCTTTAGAAGTAGTGGTGATTTTAATCAGTGTAATAATGACTATAATCCATATGGAAATGAATATTGTTATGCTGAATGTTCTTAAGGGAAGAACACAAACATTATTTGTTGTTTTTATTGTGAATCATTCTTCAAAGTGTCTATAGGGCTTATTGCATTAGTAAGAAGTGTTAATTGTGTGATGACATCAGTTTGAAAGACAATGGTAAACAAATCAGATTACCGTCCAATTAAAGATGACATATTTTCTGTGAATATCTACCGATGATAAGTGCCATAATATTATTTATTTGTATATAAATGTTACTAGTCATCTAATCACATCAGTGTAAATATATCATAATTATTTATTTATTAATTAATATTTTCAAATATTGTATATTTATATCATAACTGTCTCACCACACATATAATCAAAATCAGATTTTAATTAGTATTTTCAAACACATGAGCTATGTGAATTTAACAGAAAATTTGATTTTTAAAAAAAGAAAAATGACAGCCTCTCTCTCTCAATCCAAATAGGCCATTTTATCCAAATCAGACTTTCTTTGGTAAGAAATTATAATCCTAATTTTTGGCTTATATAAAGTTCTCATTCCAACTTCACATGAAAAGCGTCTCTTCGAACATCCAATATATACTATTACAAGCAAATTCGTCCGATTCAAAATTTAAAACAAAAATTATGGGAGACTGTCATCCTAGACAATATTCTAGTCTAAACTATAGGAAGCAATAAAAATGCTACATCTTTAAATAATCATGTCAATATATAAAATTCACCAGTATAAATGATGTACCGGTATTGATGTATTTCACTGTTAATATATACAATGAAAAAGTTCAAAAACAAAAAGTGCAATACAGTGTTAACACTTCTAGTCATCGACCTGAATAATCCTAGTCATTATTACAGGCAGCTTGTTGGGAGTTATCTCTCTCTAAATTTGGCGTGGAATTACAGCAAATTAAGCTCAAGGAAATTATTAGCCAAAAAATTAACTGTGATATTGTCATTCATTCCTTGTTTTATTTATTATTTTCACGTATTTATATTATACGATGAAAAACATGTACATATTCTTTATTCAGGTAATTTATTGTAGATTAGTGTAGCTTTTGAAAATCTTACATCACTAGCTTTTTGACAACAGATGTTTGATAGAACCTTTGTAATGTAACACTCATAATCACTTACATATATGTAAATAGATGTACAACTAATATTATTAATAATTTATATATTCCAATAAACTGTCACGGACACAGAAATCCAATTTCATTATTTATTAAATGTATATAGAGTATATTTAGTCATTAAATTATCCAGTATTTATTCAAATTAACAATGGTAAAGTACATTTTTCTTGTATTACAGTAATTTTATATATCTGTGAACTAGTAGTAATACAGTGGCATATTTCAGCCTGGAATATTAAAAATATTATTTAGAATTATATCTTACAAAAACTTACTTCCTTCAAAAAGAAATAAAATTTAATGTGTAATATTTACCTAAAATATCACTTGTGTTACAAAAATAGGAAATTAAATCCTTCTCCAAATTTTCAATATATTTTGGAATGAATACTATTTAAAGTTTTATTCTAAATAACAATGATAACATTAATAATAGGTACTGGTAATTGATTCAGATTTATAACTCATTTATATAATTATCCTCAAAATATAGTCAATGAACATTACATATAATTCGCTTTCATTTTCATAATCTGCTTTTATTTTGTTTTTTTAAATTGGTATATCTTAAACTTGTGGTTTATTATGTATACCATGTACAACTACATGAATTGTATACAGTGTACATCATGTATACTGATTATTTTATGTAAGATGAGTGCATGTAAGTAATGTTAATAATAATAACAATACTAATAGAACTGTATGTTTGCAATTTCTGGTGTACAGGCATAATAAAATATCTAAAAATATATTAAAGATTTTTTATTTCTTCATCAAACTGGTCCCTTATCTATAGTGAATCTTACTGGATCGCTATGATGAGTGCCATGCATGACTACAGAAACAGCTTATATATAGTGTTGTTTCCTTTCGTCAGTATATGCTGCCCCTATGGATATAACCAAAACAATATCCTCATTATGGCTATATGTACATTAGTTCTGTAAATGTCATAACTGGTCAAATGTAATACTTTTAGTAGAATTTTTGCTCGAGAAATAACATATTCGCATAATATGTGATATGTACTTAAAATACTTAAATCAACTTAGTCTGTAATTGACAGTTGACACATAAAAAGGACTATTTATCAAAAACATATGTCACTCATTTACCACCAGAATTACACTTGAGTGGAATTATTCTAATTGCATCATTTGGTTTAAAGTAACCAATCATATCGTTAATTGCACAGGTTCAGGGCCATGAACAGGCTTTCTGTGCGTGATCTGCAGGAGTCTTATAAAATAAATCATAGTAAAGTTTTAAGGCAGACTTGCATTAGATTCCAGAGATCGAGGGTACATCTGAGTTCCTAGACAGCCGAGAGGCTGGATAGGGTGGAGAAGTGGTTTTAGCTATATAGTATTGTAATTTGTGCTATGCTTGTATACCTGTATTCAGTTATATGCTATATAAAATGTAGAAGTGAACTATGCATTATTATTCCTGGTAAGACAAACATCTTAAGAAACTGGAAGAAGTAAATACACAACGTGAAGCAGAAGTAAAGACAGCTAGAGACAAATCCTAGACGATCACAAGGCTACAGAAATATGTAGTAAGAAAAGATGCATGGGTCGTACGTAGGATGTGGCGACCGGTTTGACAATGTACGCTCTCCACGTCAGACAAAAGACCCATGGTGCTACATATTCTATTTGGTTGCCGTGACAGTTTCGACCTTTAGGGTAAGCAGAAAATTTGGAAGAAGATTAGAAGAAAAGAGAGTAAGCATCACATATTTTCCACATCTAACCAGTGACTGCATAGCACTGCATAGTCTTACATATTCTAATTTGATACCGTAATGAAGTTTCGACCTTTGGGGTAAGAAGTCACTTTAGAAGAAGAATACATATTGGAAGACGTTAAGAAGAAAAAAATATCTGTACAATCCAGCAACAGAAAAATTCTGTTGGAAAAAAAGAAATCTGGTGAAGATATTCGAAAATTTGGGTAAATACATTTTTTCTGGAAAATTAGATGTGTTAAATTTGTTCAAAGACCAAATAATATTAATTTAAAGTTAAAATCTGATTAGAAACTAAGTATTTAAAATTTAACTGTATAGAGAATAAATTAGAGTCATTCATAAGTTGAGATTGATAGGTTTATTAAACAATATAATATCACTGGTTAGGTGTGTATATTATCGGGTTAACATGACCTGTAGTAAATTTGAGTAAAATTAATGTTAAAGAGAAAGTTTAGGGAGTAGGTTAAAAAAAAAATGTTTTGATATAACTAAGGAATAATAAGGAAACGGAATAGGGAATAAAGTAAGGAACTAATGTTGTCTCCGGATCGCAGTGGGAAGACGGCAGATCTAAGGATGAAGTTGTGAGTGATTAACTCTAGTTTCCTAGTTGGCCGTACTTTCTACTGTGATTCGTTAATTTGTGTTTTTTGTTGTTTCGTATACTATATAATTTTAAGGCCCTTAGTCCAGGCCTTAGAGTTGTTGTAATTTAACTTTTGATTAAAAAATTAGGTTATGTTAAAAATCCCATATGGTTAATCTAGGGATGTTGGTTATAGTTTTCCAGGGAAAAAACTAAAATTATAGGCTCGTTGAATTGTGAGATTATCGCAAAGTCATTAATACGAGTTTTATAGGAGGTTAAAGTTAAGAATACGACACTTTTTAGAAAAGTGTAGGTATACGGTAAATTTTGTCCGTATATAACTTTATTTTTGCTTTAGAAACGTAATATTAACGTTTAATATATACTGCTAATTGCTTTAAGCTGTCGACATGTACACGAGATGATTAGAATGTGTAATTTGACATTAGGTCAGATTATTATAAACAATAGGTTCTAACACTGTGTTAAATTTGGCCTGACGGGTTAATATACCGGTATATGACATAGTAAACTGTATGTGTATAGACTAATGTTCCTGTGGATGAAAGTGCACTCATTCACTTGGGACATGGTTATAAATTAAATGAAATGGGGTTTTGCATCAAACTGTAGGATGGAATGGAGCGTCATTCATATACTGGCCATATTTGATTGACAGTTCTATTCTAGATAAATTAAAGTCTGGTATTGTCATAGGTGTGAGCTCAGCTTGTGTCAGTGTCAGTCTGATAGGAATGTTTATAAAAAACGAAATACAAAATTGTAAATGATTAGGTCAAAAAGGTCACATTACTGACTGAGAAATATAAAATAATAATGGAGGAATTATAAAACACAAATGGAAATTCTAAAACAGAAAACGCAATTATAAAATTACTGATCGAGTTCAGGTCAAGAGGTTAAAGTAAGTTTGAAGATTTATAATTAAAGAGACACATCAAAGTTTATTTAATAATTAAATAAAATTTAATTTTAATTAAGAGTAAGATTTACAAATACTTTTTCGAAATATTAATGTTAGACTAATATCAAAATAAAGATTTAGGAATAGTTAGTTCTTGGTCTAATGGCAATGACATATTTGATTGACGGATAAAATTGTACAAACCAATCATACTTAGAAAAAAAAAAAAGACAGTTTCAACTTGACACTATGGTAGCTGAAACAGACCAATACAAATCCAAGAAGAAGAAATGGTTTACCAGTTTACCAAATTGACATTTCCTGAGACAGAATTTAAAGTGAAACCTGAACTTTATAAATAATTCGTGTTGTGTTATAGTGTTTTGAAATTAGGACACTTGAAGATCTAAAAAAGACAATTTGTGTTTTCTGTGTTTAGGCTTAGTGAATTTTCATAGGATTTTACAGTGATGAACTTTTTGGAGAACTTTTGCATGCAACTTTTGATTTTTGATTATGTGTGTTTGTGTTTTCACAGTTTTGTTATATAGTATAGTATCATTGATATTTGCCTGTTGCATGAATAATTATAGGGTTTAGCACATAGAAGTTTTTAAGAGTCTCCTACTGTTCATTTAGCATAAATCTTGCAAGTGGGGGAGGTGATATATGTTAGATTTTCTAGATTTCTGCTACATTTATGGATAGTTATATAATTCTACAGATGTTGGTATGGTTATTGTAAAGGATTCAAGGGATCTTTTACCCAATACCGAGCAAAAAGTCTTAAAGAAAGGGACGAATGTAATACTTTTAGTAGAATTTTTGCTCGAGAAATAACATATTCGCATAATATGTGATATGTACTTAAATACTTAAATCAACTTAGTCTGTAATTGACAGCTGACACATAAAAAGGACTATTTATCGAAAACATATGTCACTCATTTACCACCAGAATTACACTTGAGTGGAATTATTCTAATTGCATCATTTGGTTTAAAGTAACCAATCATATCGTTAATTGCACAGGTTCAGGGCCATGAACAGGCTTTCTGTGCGTGATCTGCAGGAGTCTTATAAAATAAATCATAGTAAAGTTTTAAGGCAGACTTGCATTAGATTCCAGAGATCGAGGGTACATCTGAGTTCCTAGACAGCCGAGAGGCTGGATAGGGTGGAGAAGTGGTTTTAGCTATATAGTATTGTAATTTGTGCTATGCTTGTATACCTGTATTCAGTTATATGCTATATAAAATGTAGAAGCGAACTATGCATTATTATTCCTGGTAAGACAAACATCTTAAGAAACTGGAAGAAGTAAATACACAACGTGAAGCAGAAGTAAAGACAGCTAGAGACAAATCCTAGACGATCACAAGGCTACAGAAATATGTAGTAAGAAAAGATGCATGGGTCGTATGTAGGATGTGGCGACCGGTTTGACAATGTACGCTCTCCACGTCAGACAAAAGACCCATGGTGCTACATAAATTCAGATGCATGACGTCAAATTCAGATGTGTGGTGGTCCAATTGAGAGCGTTGCAGTATCAGAAGTTGTCAATCCAAAGAAGTATGATTATTCATACTTTTCATTCAAGCATCAAATGATTAGCAACTGAAACTCTCCTTGAATTGCAACAACAACTCTGATTATAACGAAGCATCAACAATTTAATTTATCACCTACCTTGGATTCATGACAAGGCGTCGGAAAAAGTAAGTCCATGTTATATAATCCATAGCATCTTGTTTTGAAGATATTGTTCCAGAAACTATTTCAGCATTTAAATGGTCAGGTAAAACTTCTAATAAACTAAAAAAAAAACCATGACATAAAGATGTATACAAAATATGTATTCATATAAAGACTTTCTAATAAAGTATATGTACTTTATATGTTTTCGGTACAACTACTAACTGCCATTGAAACAGTTTATTCTGTATACACACTAGTATCCAAAAGTAGGGTTTTTTTGGGGTGTTTTTTGTTCAAGGGGATCACGTGGCTAAGTGGGTAAGACGCTGGCTCGCTAGTCTGGAGGTCGGGTGTTCGATCCCTGCATTGGCCGAGAAAGTTCATTCAGATTTTCCGGCGTGGTTTCCCCTTGTCAGTGATGCAGGATGGAGGACCTGACAAGGACAGCTGTCTAGTCGTTCGGATGGGATGGAAAACCGAGGTCCTGTGTACACATTGGCGGGCACGTAAAAGATCCCTTGGCAGTTGGAATTCGATATAAGAGTAGGCCGTAGCGCCGCTGCCCGGGCAAAATTACCCTCATAGCACACTGTATGGTGTATGCCCGTCTTCATTAGCCCAGGTTAGGAGCAGAACAGTAGGACGTTAAACCCCATTTCATTTCATTTCATTTCATTTTTTTTGTTCAATTATGGACAGTAATCTTCAACAGGGGGTTGCCTGGCAAGATACGCCCACATTTTGCTATAGATGGACAGAGAACGTCCTTAAAAAAAAAAAAAAGCGTTTTTTCGTACAATCAGGGGCATAATCAATGCTGTTACAGTCTGATACATGTCAATATCAAAAGGAACCGTGATAGATCAAAATTGTGACCTGTAGAGGGCCCCCAATCTTGGTATTCAATAGTTTTACATCCATTTTGTTGGGCAGTTTCGGGCCGAGTTTCGTACAATCAGGGGTCATAATTCAGAAATTTACAATCCGATATACGCGAATATTGACAGGAACCAAGACCTTTGGGTTATAAACATATATTTCGAGTTTCCTCAAAATCGGTTGAAAATTGTGATCACAAACTACAAACGTGATTTTCATACAATCAGGGGCCATAATACATAAAGTTATGGTCCAATACCTGCCAATTTCGATAGAAACCAAGATCTTTGGGCGATAGACCTATATTTCAAGTTTCGTCAAAATCAGATAAAAAATTGTGACCTGTAGAGTGCCCACAAACAAATTGTGGATGGACGAACGGACAGGGTTGACAACAATATATGTGGGCGTATAAAAAGATAACAGGCAAATTGTGTCTGCTTCCATTGGGCCAACTTTTAGGAGTTCAAATGGGTAATAATTTTTTGTTTAACAATCATTAAACAAGCAAAAAAAAATCATTTAGTTACCTCCCTTGCATTCCAATTCAATAACCAATTCTATTCTAATATTTTTAACTCCTTCCATAAACATATTATTCATATTGAAAATTCAGCAGTATACCAACAAGTACTTACTTTGATTCCACTGGGAATGGTTCATACAGGAATTTTTTGTAGAAGTACTTTTTGACATCATGTACTAGAATTAGAGCTTTACCACTATCATCAAACTGTGGACGACCAGCTCTACCCATCATTTGTAGAACATCTTTAAATAGTAAAACAGAGGTACAAATTCAACATACAGTAAACAAAACAATACATGCCCGCACAACCGTTTTTAATGACCGTGAATCTTAAAGCATGAATCAAAATGACGTATGAACCAGTTGTTATTAACACAGTCTCGTTAATTCAAACACATGTTCTTTCTTTTATTTGCACGTCTGACAGTTAATAATCATTACAGTTCAAAAATACCATACTCAGAACCTGAAATGGCCCACACATAAGATGTGGTTTTTTTACTGACCATGATTTTTTTTTGTCCAAACAGTGTCATTTTCACCTACTCCACATCAATTTTCTTCCTATTGGAAGAACGATTAGGCACACTTTCCTTGTTAGCCTTGTAAGCACCACATTCTCCTAGAAATCGCGCTGAGATTCAGATTCGCTAGACTACTATGGAGCAGCCAAAAAGACAGGTAACCTGCTCCTTGTCATGTACAATTGTCCGATGGAACTGTTGTTTGCAAAGATGACAGACCTCACATGGTTAGTGGCATATCGCTTTTAACAATTCTGTCACCCAACCCAGACCCCACATGGTTAGTGGCATATCGCTTTTAACAATTCTGTCACCCACTCATCCATGTAAATAATATATTTAATTACCTGTTATAGGAAAATCTACATATCTTCTTGTTTTTCCATCAAAATATTCTGTTCCTTTTATAACAACAAGATGAGCAGGAAAATTAACACCCCAAGCTAATGTACTTGTAGCTATTAAAATCTGTAAGTAATGATAGTTTTAATATTTTTAAGCAGCATTTAGTACCTGAATGAGAATAACACAATTATATGGAATACAAGTTCCTTAAAAGACTTATTTCTGTTAATTAAGTAACTTGTTTTCCATATAATTCTGTCATATGTTATAATAATAGTTTTGTTTTAAACTCTATATTTGTACTATAGGACAACAACTTTAATTTGTAAATTGCATCAATGGATTTTGCTTAAAGATACATTATGTAAGATTTAGATAAAGAACTGGCAGTTCTTGATATAATAGTTCAAAAATAGTTAATGCAAAATGAATATATTAAAAATTTCATTCAAATTACTTTATTCTGAGCGAAGTAATCACTGTTTGTACAGTTGTAGTTTTGACAAGATGTGTGCATTGACTGTTTATTATCGTAACCACAGGTGCTAGTTATTTGAGTCTTAGCCTCCTTCATCCATTTTTAGATTAAATCATTAAATGGCCAAACCTGTCTAATCTACTTAAAACCGAAACCATCCAATGGCATCAAGAGTTGATTATTGTCTTGTCATGTTAATAAATGGCTAATTAATAATCTATTTAACATTTAAGGCCTAAAGAAAGACCTGCAATAGACAGATTTGGCTCTTGAATAATGCTTTTTTAATACTTAATAAAGCTTCTTGGGTCCGTACTATCATTTACAAAGTGGTAATATAAGCTAAATTTTAGACTTAATACATATACAGGTGCTCTACTATCTTGAGCTCCAGAGATCTTGGAGTTGTCTCCCTTATACTAGACCTGGGAGTACTCATAATAATACACAGACAACAGTTTAATATAATTTTGGTTCTTATAATACTTTACAATTCTCTTTTAAACTTTCAGAGGAAAACAATAAATTACCTGTATCTTAGAGTTAACAAATAGTTCTTCAGTAGTTTTTCTGTCTCTTTCAACTAGTCCAGCATGATGTATGCCTATACCAAAAGCTAATGTTAATTTTAAGTTAGTGTCTTTAATTCCGGTTATAATATTTTCCATCTAAAAAAAAGGAACATGGCCATAAATTTGTTAGCTCATCATGAGCACCTGTAATTTGATGAATTACCGAATTACCAAATTGAATCAATATGTCACAGCTTGTAGATATTACCATTCTAAAATAGCTGACTAGTACATGCGGATGGGTTTCCGTCTTTATTAGCCTAGTAGGTGCAGAAAAGTAGGATCTTAAACCCCATTTCATTTCAGGCAGATACCAGTTATTTTTCCGTGAATAATACTTGTAAATTTGGTGTGGAAGAATCTTAGAACCCTTCAATCATGTCCCAAGCAACTATCTGAAACTCATTGATACATTTTCAAAGAAATATCAGCATCCACGTACAGAGTTGGAAACAAGCTTCTTGACTAGCTATCACCCTGTGATTTGATAACCCAATCTATAACGAAGATGTGTTTGTAGGGACAACTGTAAGTTATACTTTTGTTTTATTGGAGGTATTTTCCAGTGAGTAATACAATTTTGCGGGTTATTTTTGTATTTCAAGTAGCCTAGGTCTTGACAAAGTTTACAATACCTGGACATAAGGTCAATCAAAGAAAAATTGGAGGTAAATAGACTATATTATTTCTCAGGGCATAATGATCAAGTATGGCAGGTTTCAAGAAGATCGGTAAAAAATTGAGACCTGAAGGTGATTTATAAGATTTTCGAAGCAGGGGCCATAACTCTAAACCTAATTAGGTAAAGTGGACCAAAAGTAATAGGGATCATCCCTTGAGTATAAGACGACACAGCCTGTAGGCAATACAGCAACACCAGGGGCAACGACATTAAACGTTCACATTATGAATGTGAACTTATACAAAACAGTTAATTATAAGCCATAATTATGCAAATATCTCCAATCGGGCATACTATGTCTATCATACATCATGAATAACAACTGACCGTAAACAGCTTCTGATAATATAATGGTGTCCTCTAATAGGCTCTCTTGGTGAAACAGTAGAATGAGATGATTCAGGAACAGATGTTAAACGAAATTGTTTCAGTCGAAACATTAATGAAGCAAAGGGGTGATATAGGCTTTGTCCTGTTCCCCAATCCTATTCACTAGTTTGAATAAAATATTGTTTAAAAAAAAAAAAAAAAAGAAAAAAAACCAAACAGATTAAAATCAGTTTTTAATTACAATTTGTTTTATTTTCAATCATGTGAGCTTCTTGATGAATTAAATTGTCTGTATTGGTATACAGGACTCGTAAGTGGTAACCCTGGCACTGAACTGCTAATTAATCTAAAAAATTTGATTTTGTCGGATCAATTCAAATATCGATTAGCATTTGTTAGCTAACACATAACAGTAAATATTTCCCATAAAATGCAATATACAGGTGTATACAAGTAGGTAATAGACATCCACTGATTTTACAGACCATAATTCTTGGACTATTGAAATCAATGCCAGTCTATGTCCGTTATGTGCAATGAAATCATGGTCAGATTTTGTCTTGATAAATCAACATTGTATGAAAGATAAAGTAGTGAATAAAACAATATCTGTGGGTAATTTCTGTTATGTTATCAATATACCCAAGTCAATAATCAAGACACTAGATATGATCCATTTAAATATTCATGAGGATTGTTATGCTTAAAGTTATGTTTAAAGCAGTACAAAATATAATAACACAATTTGTAACAATGTGCCTAGGCCTAGTTGTTTACATCAGCAAGATGACGACCGTCAAACGTCGAAATTGTCAAACTTTCATTGGTATCGGATTCGACTTTAAAAGCCATCACAGGACATTTCATCTGATCATACTACCATTATCTCTGTCATAGCTGACCATTGTTAATTTACTTTAGATAATCCATTTTGGGTGCCCAGTTGTGTGTAAGTCTACTACCTTAATATTGAGTGAATGGCTGTGTTAAAATACTAGGCTGGTTGGAGAAGGTGACAAATCCAGCTTTGTGGGAAGAAATTCCTACCCAAATGATTTCTTCATTTTCTGAAACAACTATGTCCCTAGTGTTCCAGAAAAATTTTCCCCGCCGACCGGAGTTGAGCAAATTTTTTTACAGCATTTTGAAATTTTGACCCCCTGGGTCAACATAATGAAACTGAAAACCATTTATAACTTCAAAAATATCAATTTTACAGCCTAGAAATGTATTATCAACATATGGGGAAGTGATACCAAGGATTCCAGAAATGATGTAAAAAGTAATGTACGACGTCACCGTGACGTCAGAATACAAAATGGCGGAACTGTGACGTCACTGTGATGTCAAAATTCAAAATGGCGGAGACGTGTTGTGAATAAAGAGTTATTGTGTCCCAAACTTTCCACCGTACATTTGATCGGACAGACTGGCGGGTGAAAAGAAAGGTGGGGATCAAAAACATTATTATATGTCAAAGGGTATTCTCTTTATATAGTACCAAGACTGAATATACGCTAGAGAAGATAGGCAGTTTATACACCAACCAAGATAACTTAGTAGATAAACAAAAGGCTTTAGGCCTATATTGAGGCCTTTCCCATAACAAACAAACATGCAGGGCCTACACCATACATAAACCGGCTGGTTATGTGTCATAGCACAGACCTGTCACCTTCTGCATGCACATTGTCATGTATTGGGCACTGCATTCAATTATTTATCAGCCATGCATAGACCACGTTCTACTTTTCTAGGCCTAAGCCAGGACCCAAGCAGTTTATTGATTCTCACTATAAATAAATAGGGTCTTAAAAAATACTTATTTTGCATTTTCCAAGGCCAGTTGTACTAACTTCCTCCCCCGATTTGTCGAAAACATAATGTAATTTATGTATATTCAAAGAAAACTAAACATATTCTAATAATAAATTGAAACAACGGGGGCTGCCATCTTTGTTTCAAGCAATCTGATTGGACAATTGAGTTACTAGGTTTTACTGTGGCATACTAGGGAAATGAAGGAAGTTGCTAGGTTGTGCCATGGGTGTAACTGCTTACAAAATGAAAAGATTGGAATATCTAGTACAACAACAGGAAGCACACACATTAGTAACTACAAATTTGGTCCTAACTCAATTTTGATAAAAAAAAAAGTGAGTTACTAGGTTTTGCCTAGTGGACACATTTGCGCGCACGTTTAAGAACCCTGACAGTTTGAATTAAATATAAGAGTAGGCCTGTGGGCGGCTGTCCGGGAAATTTTTTCTTCATAGAACACTGTATGGCGTTTGAATTTCGATAGGGTCCCCCCTGCCCCCCGACTAGTTTTTTGTTTGTTTTAATCTTAATCTGTGCCTGTATATAGGCATATTGATTCGTATTATGTTTGTTTCTGAATGTTGAAATTTAAATAAAATAAAATTAAATTATATAACATAAGTTAAAACAATATTTCAATATATAATCTTGTTATGATATATAACCAATAATGGATACAGTTTTGATAAAATAATAAAATACGGATTCGTTGATCAAGAAGGACAATACAATATATAAAAGAATTAACAATAGTGAAATATAATATAATTTAGTTTAAATAAATAATATATTTACTTTAGTGAAATATAATATAATTCAAATTTAAATAACAGTTACGTGACCAGAAATCTTAAAAGGGTTACGTGTCCGGATAAGCATTTGTGAAGTTCACGTCCAAACGACTAAATAATGTGAGCTGAATGTTTGAGACAAGGTAAACACACCATTCCTCTATATTTTGGAGCTTAAATTTCAATCGTACTCAGACTTTTATTTTTGAGACGATCTGTTCAAATCGGAAAAGTCCCTTTAATATTTAAAGTAACATTTACTGATCTAAATATTTTCAAAAGCGAAATTCTATTATGACTTTCTGAATTATTAATCCATGTATACTTGGATCATTAACAATCTATGGCCCTCCATCTTGCACCCAACCAACCAAACATATATAAAGATAATAATAATCCATTTCGACAACCTGAATCACTTCCTACTACACTAATTTATAGAAATCTTGGTTCCAATATAATTTGAGTAAATGATGTTTAAAGTTATCAAGACGATAAAGTCGGTATTTAGATCACTTGGCTTGACCATAATCAACGCTCGATGTCATCGCTAGCCTGCGATATTTACTGGATTAGAACCCGGTCTGCTGCTTCTGATTAATTCAAGTTGACTGAAATTTCAGCTAATTTCCTTTACATTATCTAGTTCTTAACTATTATAGTAAGAACTAACAGCACTTTATCTAATAAATGTGCATATATTAATGCATCTATAGTAAAAGTGCCATTTAAAATTGTAATCCTGTTTATATATATATATATGACAAGGAAAGCTGTCTAGTCGTTCGGATGGGACGAAAAACCGAGGTCCCGTGTACACATTGGCGTGCACGTAAAAGATCCCTTGGCAGTTGGAATTCGATATAAGAGTAGGCCGTAGTGCCGCTGTCCGGGCAAAATTTCCCTCATAGCACACTGTATGGCGTATGCCCGTCTTCATTAGCCCAGGTTAGGAGCAGAACAGTAAGACGTTAAACCCCATTTCATTTCATTTCATTTTATATATATATATATCTAACATATTCTTATTTTTCAACATTTAAGTCTTCATTATCCTAGCAACGTTACTTGTTAATCGAGACCCAGTCTTGCTACCCCATTTTTGAATTATATCATTAAATGGCAATCGTATTTTAATCCATTTGTTCATCTGCGCCACCCGGTGAGCTAGAGAGTTGATTATAGGCTTTTCATGTAAATAAATGTCTGAATAGTAATTATATAACATTTAAAGCCAAAATGAAAACCTATAATGGGGAGAATTAGGTCTTACGTAATGCATCTTTAATATTTACTGGGGAAACCCGATACGTAATTGTAACGCGTGACTTATTAATATACCATCGGTTATCTAAACACTTATGTATTTCATATTTCATGGAAGCTAGGCGTGTCAAGCTTTCTCCGTACCGCCAGGCTTTTTATTCGAAGTGGTTGGAAATATTGCAAGTGTTACCTTTATTATATCTTCA